ACAACATTCTCGACGTGTAGTGAAAGTTTTTAACGGCGAATCAACTGCTGTTATCAAGAATACCAAAATCATCTGTGAAACTGAAGTGAGGGATTTGATGTTAATGAGGTACGGGAAAGCCTATTCTTGTGCTGCACGTCCAGGATTCAACACTGTCAGCAGGAACTTAGTGGAACAGAGGAGAAATTAGATGAAGTGTCATGTGTATGAAGACACTTTATGATGCAATTTGTGTTCGAAAATCAACTAACTAAAAATTAAGTGCTCTAACGACCTGTTCATTTGCTCATGCGGTGATCTATGCCTGTACACCATAATTATCATAAACATACTTCTAAACTAACCCTGTGGAAGTAGAGGAAGTCAGGACTGAAAACGTTGAAAGCTAGTGGCTAATGCAAGCAAATACTGTGATCCGAGGGTTAATTCCTAAAGCCTCCATCTTCCCGAGTAAGCTATGAATGAGACAGTGGTTCCAGACTTTTATAGGGATAACCTCCAATAAGCTGCAATTAAGATTCGCCTCTTATACTAAATTTGGACGTTAATACGTCTGTTATTTCGAATTATCTTTACTTATATTAGGAAATTAGCATATTTGAGTAGCTGTATGTCATTATACTTACTTAAGCAGCTGGAAATTAGTTATAAAGAAAAAAAAAGAAAGTTAAACAAATAGCAAAAAAGCAAGTTAAGTTAAATAAAGGAAGTGAAACAAATATAAAAGGAAGAGTTTAAAAAACTAAGTAAGCTAGCCATTAAAAGCTAAAATACAAATAATCAAGAAAAAGCAACTTCCAAGTTTACCAAAACCGCATGATCAATTAGTGTGAGGATCCGAAATTAGTGCTGTGATACGCCTACAAACCAGGACATTCGGTCCTGCGCTATTCTGTAAAGAAAACTTCAAAAACCCTACACGCGTCCGCGCTCAAGTGCACTGAAATTTACCGCCAAAAATCAGCTTACACACTCCAGAAACGGAAAATCCACTATTGAAAAGTGGCAAAAATACTCACGCAAATACGCTTTCCGTTGATCGTCGGTCCAATTTGATGGCAATATTGTTGGCATACCCGGTATAAATGATTTCTTGGTACTCCACCGTGATTTGCGTACCTTCTTTTCTGCTTCTCCGCTTATTTCACCACCATCAGCAGAAGATGATGCCCCATCTGTCCCACCATTATTATTTAGCTTATCCACTGAAAACAATGATTTTTTTTTCACTGCCAGTGAACTTGTTCCACTGTTTGGTGGCTGTCAGTAAATTAGGACAAGAACTCCAGATCTTTAAATTTTCGTTCCGTAGGCAGTTGTATTTTCAGTATTTAGAATTAAAGAAGTTGCGGGAATGCGTAATAAAATAAACTCAGGGATAAGAAATGCCGGTACCGCAAGAGTACTATGGGTCGGCTATACATCCCTCGAGAGATCGGTGGATGTGGATTGGAGTCGCTGGAGGACTGCTGCAAGAAAGTGTCCTGGCGACAACTTTTTCAGTTGCTTTTGACCGGCTGCATCACCTGGAGGTCAATATTTTGCTGTTCTTGACGTTTGTTTTGTTTTCCGATAAGAAAATTAGGCCAGTGGTTTCTAGACGGGGGCACATTTAGCAAGGTTTTAGCCATCCCGAGACGTCACTAGGTGTGCGGTGAGCATCACGGCCTCGTTTCGAATGTAACCCCTCTGTTGCAAAAAACCCGCAAAAAGTCGGCTAAGAAACCGCCACAAAGAAAATAAGAGAGTAAAAGAAAGGGGTACACTGCCTTGAAAAACAGAAACACAGCAGATGTGCTGTCAGGCTGAACTTGGAGCACAAGGAAGGGTAGTTTAGCGGCAACACGTTGCGTTCGAACGTGCTAAAGAGTGGTTCGGTTCCTTCTCTGTCCAGAACAGTTTTTGAAAAAGACTCCGTTCACGACACCCTCCAAGATTATGGTGAGGTAACTTATCGAGTCGGTATCTTCGTGTAAACTGTAAACCATGAACTGGCAACAAGACAAGTATACAATATTTTGCAGTGAAGAAACCAACCCTCCCCCATCCCTAGTTTCAGCGGTAAACGAAGGCGCCGCTATTTAACAAACAAATAAATTTTTCAACAGTTTTCGTCCATGTATCTGTCACTTACCAAATTCAGGGCGTGCCAAAACTGGAATGACTTTTTGGGCAGATTCTAGTTTCGATAAACCAGCATTCGCCTAAAAACACAGCAATTATGGTAGAAAAATTTGCTGAATTTACATAGTTTTCTTACCGCATTTTTCACTTTTCTGTGTAGCTAATCCGTCCGAAACTTTATGGATGCTCAGCACGTTTGCGGCTCATACTAGTTGTCATGGCAAACTTTTAAACCTAACTCTCGAACATGCAAATTTTTTGTTAGTATT